GATATATTTTCATCATATTTTATACTAAGAAAGTGCAATTAGAGACATGTAATACTGGCTTTGTATTGATACTGTTTTTTTCCACTTTGAAACACAGATAAAGGCTGATTTATTTGTGAATTTAGCAATTTTTTGGGGCAAATTGGGACCATAGACAGTCATAAGAAATGGAACAAACTTCTGGGTGTTTTTTTTCTCTGTTGAGCATTATTTGTGAGAAAAGGCATATTTATGCTTATTAAATAAATCTATTTTACCTTCTCCAGACCTTGCTGGAGAAGTCTCACAATGCCTGAAAAAAAGTTGTTAAGGAGAATCTGAATTCTCATGGCTGTAATAAAAATGCTATTGCTAGTATTTATCTCTGCTACTCAGGCTCTTCAGCCCTTTTTCATTAAATAACTTCTTATCAGACAGACCCCTTGCTAAAATAGATATGAAAACTTGAATGGTCTTTGCAAAGACACACAATTAATTGCATTGTGTCACAGACACTTTGAAAGTAGCTTTGAGAGCTACTTTCCAAACAGTCTTCATTTTCTTTTGTTATTCAAGACCCAAAATAAGTTGCAAAAGAATTGTCCCCTGTTGACAATTATTTTTTTTTCCTTGCCTGTACATTGTCTGTACTATGCTAGAAAAAATGTCATTTTAAGAGGATGTTTTTAGATATATAGAATTGACTTAAAATGGTAGTGGTATTTCTTGTTTGTTAGTAATGTGCATATAAATGTTTTCTCTTCTTCTTTTTCCTGTCCTTCTTAACATTAAACATTGCAATTTCTGAGAATGGCAGCAGTATGACTGTATAGCATGATCAATAGGAAATGAGTTGAAAATAATTTATTGAAAAATAAATWAATTAATTTAATTTTTGACCCAAACATGTTCTTTTGAATAGCAGGTATCTATGGGTCATGTTGTGAACCTGAGAAAACAGTATTTGGTCTCCTGCAGAGGCCCTCAGCACTCAACTTTTTTTGAAGAAATAAGACGTAATTAAATATCAGTTGCACAATGCCACTAAGCACAGACTTATATTCTCCTTTTTTGAAAGTGTGAAGGAAAAAATTTGTGATCTCTATAAAGGCACTCCACATTATTTCCTTTCCCCATCTGCCCTGTGCTTTGTCTGGTCGCTTTGTCACACTGTAATTTTACTGAAATATTACATAACAGGGCCAAAATTGTCTGACAGGAAAGGAAGGAGAGCAAGGGTGAAAGTACTTGCTTCTATTCCTGACCCTTTAGTAAGTGAAAAAATCTTTGGCTACCAAGTCATTGGAACAAGTTTTTTTTGCTGCTGTACGGTTCAGTTTTGATTGCTGAAATTTGTTTGCCTTCTGTGTGCATCCCTGAGAAGAAGTCACAAGTAAATTAGTGCAGTTGTTAAAATTTTTCTTTTATTTGTAATTGCTTATCAAACAGTAGTTTCTGATGCTATGATTGTCTGAATTTTTGTGGTTTCTGAATTGTTTAATTCTATTAGGACAGCCTCTATGTGAAGAAATTGGATTCAAAGTAGAAAACAATTGTCACACATTCTCTGCAATTTTCCCCTAATAAGCAAACTATTACTGCTAAAAGAGTTTTCTTTTTAATGAATATTTTATTTTGTGACTTGCATTAAAAACAGCTATTTGAGCCCTATAAAAATGAGACTTTAATCATTGTAACACATAAACAGGAACACCTTTATACCCTTTAGGATCAGTAAATTTTTTTATAGGCTGTTTTTCTCCTTTCTGCTAAAGAATTGAAAGCACCAGGTCAGTGCTCTTGCAATATTCCTGACGTCTCTTGAAATCAGCCCTTTGTGTGACATGTGTGTCACTTAGAGATGATGAACACAAATAAGCTCCATGGAATATTTGTATAATTTATTGATTAACTGTGGAATGTATTTAGTATTTCCACTACATTAACCCTAAACAACTTCACACAACCTTTGAATCCAGAAGTTGTTTTTTTTTTTTTTTTTTTGCTTTTCTTAAGAATTACTTAAAATAATTCTCTCTTTTTCTTCCTTTTTTTTTGTGTTTTCTTTTTTTCTTTTTTCATTTTTTTCTTTTCTTTTTATTTTCTTTTGAGGAAAAAGATTCCTTTCCCAAAATAAAAAGAAGAGGCGAATATCCCTTCCTCCAGCCTTTTAGAAATTAATTCATCTTATGTACCAGTTGTTCTTCTATAAGAGCACCAGTTCTGTTATGTTAAAAAAATGTTTTGACACTTTTCCAACCTTGACTCTTTTGTTTCCTCAGCAGCACTTATAAGGGGAATTTAAGTAATTGCATAAATTMTTATAAAYTAMAACCTAAACAAAAGTTCAGAYCAGATATAAGGTGKTTKTTKKTTTKTTTYYYCCCCTGGTTAAGTTGATAACAATATGTATTTAATATGTCTACTGTTAAACCACGTTTTTCTCCTGCTGTTCCTCCTTTCTTCTTTTTTATAACATTTGCTCKGAAGATATGAGACAATACATTCAAAGTGAGAACCCTCTTCATGTTAAAAGACATATTCTGCATTCATATTGAATGTAGGAATTGCAAAGGCAGTATGGGATGTATTTGTATTCTTATTTGCATGCCAAAATTCAAATTGTTCTCTTGACTATGGTTTGTATAATAACACTGTTGCAGACACAGTTCCAAAGATGTTGATATTTTCTGAATGAATTTCTTATCTGCATGTTTTGCAGCTGGGGTTTGCTAGACAAAACAGCCTAAGAAGGGTAACATTCAATGGAAATTGTAAAGAAGCCATAGTATAAAATATAATATTGAAATCATTTCATCCAGCATAGACCTACTATATGGGCAGCTGACTTTGTTTTACTAATAAGTTAAAATATGCTAGAGACAGACAAATCAGTTTACAAAAAGTATTAAATGTATCAGCCAATAAAAATAATATTAGATACTTACCAGAAAATATGGAAACTTGCAACATGACTATTTCAAAGCTCTGATTGCTTGATTAGCTAAAATATAGAAGATCCATTCCATCAAGGAATGATGATGAATTTTTCATTTATAAGTGAGTAGTTTTGCACTGGGAGAATTAATAAGATGCAATCTATAAAGATAGTATGGAAAAATGACCTTTCTTTAATAGTTTGACTGTTTCCTAAACCTGAAAATTACCTGTTTCTCTACCTATATCTCGAAGCACTGCACCTTGCTGATCAAATCTTGTAGTCTTATAACTGAACCCCATAGATCACACATACTCTTCAACATATCAAAATAGTTCAACCAAAATCCCAGCTTGTGCACCCCCAACCTCCCTCCTCRTGGTCTGGGGTGAAAGACAGAAAACGCCTTGACTGTGTAAGTCCTGCTCAGCATGAACTGAACCATTCCTGAATTATCAACTGTTTCCAGAAGAAATCCAAAACATAGACCCATCTTACCTACTATAGAAATAGAAATACCACAAAGAGGCATTAACATTGTAAAATAAACAATTATAAAGTGATATTTAGAATTACACATTCCAAATAAACACAATTCCTGGATAATATTTTTTCAAAATAATTAATTTATATGCCTTTTCACTCCAATTTAGAATTGCGATATACATAATTATTTTGTAGCTGCTGGCTGAGTTGCAAAAAATCTGAAAGATTGCATTTTCCCTTTCCCCTCATGAATTTAGGGGCTTTTAACAATGGTCTGTATGTCAGGTTTTCAAATGAAATTGTTGCAGCATTTGTTTTAGAATGATGATTWGGTAACATCGTACCCTACTTGCCTTCTTCATGAAGAACAGTATAAGTGATTTTGTATTTTCATTTTTGTATCCATAAAAAAAATACACAGAAATAGTTTCCTTTTAACAGGAAAAGGTGGATTTTATTGGCGTTTTTCTTCCTTTWAAGAATTTCTCTTTATCAATATTGCATCCACTGAGATTGAATTTTAGGGGATTTTGTGTTTGTGGGKTTTTTTTAAAAGATCTGGTCGAGAAATCTCTGACAGAATACTTTGGTAGAAGAATGCCACTTTTAATCATAGTAGTTCTTGTGGCAATATATTGCTTTTAGTTGATTTTACTMAGCATTTCTGACACACTGTTTTTCACCATTTACTGTGACCTAGAAGTCAATAAATAAAGCCTGCACCCCAGTTTATAATGCAGGGARCCCTGTAGCCCATGTTAGTTTAGAATTGTCGCAGGGAACAGCTATTTTTTTTTAATGTGGGATGAACAGCAGCAGAATGAAAAAGTCATCAGAAGATCAGTTGTATGAAAACTGACTTGTCTCAAATACCAACATTCCTCCAATCATTTTCCCAAACACATAACTGACTAATAGTTGTCTTTAAAATCTTKTCAATATTAATCTCACAGTGCAAAACTCAGCTTTTGAAACAAATTAGATCAATTCCATCTGTGCTGAAGTATGTYTTCTTGAAAGCTTTTAAAGCATAATGGAAAGTATGACCGCATACATGATACTCAAAAATTAAAAGGGAGAGAAGAAAACATGATTATGAAAGATTAGGAAATGGGTACAGTCATTTATTATTGCTTTATTCACCATAAAAGATAATCCATTTGAAGTCTAATAAAATAAATATGAGTTAAATATGAATTAGAAATAAGTCATTCTGGAAATCTTTAATACATCTGAAAGTTACTGTGAAATGTGAAAACCAGAAAATACAGGTGTGAATTTTGGGGGCTTTCAATCAGCTATCCCAAAATGCAAGTATGATGGGAGAAGTAGGACTATAGCACTGAGAATAATTATGTRTTTTAATCTGAAATTGCCAATATTTTCTTATCTTGTGCTACAAGATCTSTCATTGAGCTTTTTAGCTAAAATTTTGTTGATGTGAAACCTGGCTTGTGATCACACTAGATATTTGTGCTGTTATAACTCACTTAATGGGAATTAAATCATGCAGATATTTTCTGAAAAAACWTGGAATAGACTCATGGCCCCAGTTTGGAAGCCATAAACATTAATCATCTCTTCCTTGTTTTCCTAGCTCCTGTCCGCTACTTTCAATGTGTCTTCCTAAATGGACCTAATGGATTTGGGCTGCAATTTCCTATTAATCCCCCTTCAAACAAGGAAGAAAAGACTCACTCAAAGACTTCCAAGAGAAAGACAAGGAAGCCGGGGCAGTAGAGAGACTGAGTCCTGTGATCACTGACATTTTGCACTTTATCTTTTCTGCTGAGGTCCACAGTAGCTGCAGTGGTACTTGTCATTTCAAGARCGTGATCCACTTGCACACGTGTACCTGGAGAAAGTTTCCATGGGGCAGCAGCAGAACAAGCAGTAATGAACTGTGTCTAACAAAGATAGAAATGTAAAAGTGCCCAGTTTCTCATGGAAAGGCTGCAATGCTAACAAAGCATTGATGTGACTGTGTGTGTGTGAGCATGTGCGTGTGTTTCATGCCTCTTTTGCTCTTGTTTTTCTTTACCTACATGCTCAGCATTGAAGTGAGTCTGTTTTCCATTTAATCTTATCTGAGGAGTGAAAGGTTGAATGTAGCTCTTATATCAGCAAGATTGCAAGTCTAGCTGCAATCCAACACCATTTCTTCCTAAYGCTCAATCAAATTGCTGACAGGAAAAAGCCTCACTAAGTCATGAAAATGTGCATTATGACTGGTGCTATTTTTATGTCTCATTGACCAGCATAACCTGAAGCTCACACTTACTCGGAGCAGCTCAATACACTATCAGTAAGCTGACTCCACAAGTCAYATTAATGATGAACATTTCTATTTAATTTAAAGCTGTAAAAGCATGGGCTGTTTGCCCTGCCTGTTGGAGAAATACTCTTCTCTTTCTGAGGCCCAAAGTGAGGAGAGAAAGTGAATCCACATGGCAAAGGTTAGGAAAACCACTGTTTTGCCAACACAGAGGTCTGAAGGAACTAATGAAATAATTATAGTGYTTCCACTTTTCTAGAATCAGTAGCTATATCAGATTGTCTTGCAGTGAAGACCTTGTAAATGGAGAAYATACCATTTGCTACTAGCATAAGCCAGATGAAAAGCTAGGATGTGAGATGCCATTCATGAAACTAAATCAACCCAAAWTTTCAGTACGTAATTACATTAATTTTATGCTATCACTGATCAGTGAACAACAAAAACCAATAACCAAACCCAAACAAAGAATCAGAAAAAATTGAAACATAAACACATGAAATAATCTAGGTAYCTCATTTTACTAGATTAAATGAAAGGAGTTCCTCACAGCACACTACTGTAGATAACATAGAGTAGAAGTGAAAGTAGATATGCTAGTCCTCAACCTCCTTGTGTGCATTTATGTAGAAGTAAAGGATTTATTGCCCTAAGAAAGAGACAAGATGGCACTTGATCCATGTAAAGGCCCTCTCTAATAATTGGCATCTCACCAGTCTGTGTCTGGCTATGTAAATAATGCATTTTTGCAAGCTGCTATTTGTTTGCATWTATTTACTATATTTTTGCATTTAATCTGGGAAATATACAGCAGTGACCTTAGCTATGTAGTTTCCTGCTGAAGCAACATGATGCTCTTTGTACAACACAACTACTTGTAGAGTCTGAACTCACCAAAAGCTACATATTACTTTTATATTTTTCGTATAGATCAAGGTAGCATTGGCCTCCACCCCCTTACACTCTCCCTGCCCATCCTTTCTTACCTTAATTGAATAATTGACTCACATGAGTTTTGGACAACTCATTCTTTGACAAATTAGTGCAATTCAGAAAGCTTTGCTGTTACACTGCTGRGTCCAGTTGGAACTCTCTTATTACTGGTCATGGCCTTACATGAACTGGATCCTTGGTCTTAATGTGCCCTGATGTTGCACAGGGGCACAAACAAGCAGTTTAGGCAGTGGTGACCAGAGGAAGGTAGGAAGAGGTCCTGGGCTACAAGTAGCTCTTCCCACATAGAATCACACTATGGATATGAGTGCTCTTGGTGAATGCCCCCACAGACCACTGTGAAATCTGCTCTGGAGATAGCGCTGCCAACAGAGAATGTTTTTAATGGTAGAATGATGTTCTTAAATTTTCTTTTGATGTCTCTTTTTATATTTCCAACAAATTTTTCCTTCCCAATTTGTGATTGTGTATATATTACTATGGATGCTTATTGCCCTAGGTTTTTACTGTGAAAGCTGTCTTAAAAATGAGATTTTAACTTTCTGCAAAATTGGTTAATTCAAGATTTTAACTAATGTCAATAATCAGGACAAAAAATGTATATACTATAAGCCTTTATTTTTTTCAGCCTCTTTTGAAAAAGAATTTTTTTTCATTATAGTTAGCATTAATCCTTTCTTTCTATCTGAGAGGGGGGTTTCAAGAATTTTTTCTGGATCTCATTTTGATAAAGTTCAATGAGGTATCTGAAAGCTTTGGAAATAGAAACAATTAATATAATTGCATAAGTAATACAAAATCAATAATTTAATTTAGTTTCAGAATCTTAGTCACTGCCTGGAAAAACAGGAGAAACAGATCTGCTCTTAGAGAGGCAAGCGTTTTTCTCTTTAAATTCACCTGGAAACTTTAAAAATATTCCTGGTTTGCATGGTTTTATTCAAATTAGCCTGAAACGTTGCAAAATGATATGCTGATTGTTATATATTTTGGAAAATAAAAAATATAAACCCTGTTTCAGTGGCTGTGATATGTTGTTCTGTGGATTTCAGAAGTGCAGGACAAGGGTTTACATATGCAAGCTTTAGATATCTTCTCATTATAAAAATGCAATTAGGCTGGAAAAAATACCCATTCAGCATTGTATTTACTCCTAATGGGCTTTTAGCATTACTTAGCTAGCTTTTTTACAGACTTTATTGATTACACTCTGACATATGGAAAGCTAAAGGGTTGCTGCAGTCATTCAAGGTAGGACTTCATCTACCCCAAATCACATATGCTCATCAAAGTGCTTTTCTGAAATGCAACGGCACAACGAGTACAGACAAAGCTGTGATCTCCAGTGACAAATATATGTTCAGACAATTAGGAAAATGGCCACCAAGAAACTGAGAGAGAAAAAAATGGGGRAAATCTCTGTTCCCACACTCCGCAGGAACTATGGCTTGCATTTATCAGCAATGGTCAAGGTTTATCACACCTACAGCTGGGGTAGGAACCAGACTACAGCCTGAGGGTGAYACAGCTGCAATTGCTCTGCTCTGCACTGGGGTTCAAGAGTCCCTTGCTCTGCAGATTTTGGTGAGCCATCCCACATATACGTTGTGCCACTTGGCAGTTTGGCTGTGCACTTTTCTCTGAGGTGCTAAAATCCTGCTGAAGTCAACAGGAGCAGTCCACTTCCAGCAAGACCAGAGAGATCAGTTTTACCYTGCTGCCTGCCCCAGAGCTGTCTGCTGTTGCTGATGCAGTCCTCAGACCCCATCCCCATCCACGTTCAGTTTTATAGTCCATCCCTTGTCACAGCTGGAGTCCAATTTTGTCTATTTTAAWACCTTCTGTCAAATTGGAGTTTTCTCAATGGTTCATTTGTATTGCACCAATTAGTGAGGGGTGGCCAGAAAGTCTRTGTAAAGAGCTCCTTTAGTGATTAACTGTGCCAGTGCAACATTGCTGGTGCCCAGGTGCTGGTGGGGGCTGCAGGGTGACCCCTTGGTGTGGAGCACAAAAGTTAAAAGTCTGAGGAGGACAAAGCAGTGAAAAGGAATCACCATGGGCCAGCCATTACTGACAGGGGCTGGTGTAAAGGAGTGACGTGGAGCTTGAGAAAGGGGGAGGAAAGGTGTTGATTTAATCTTTGCCTTTCTGTTTCCCATGATCCAAATAATGGAATCATATATTTTTATGAGGTTATTTTCCCCGAGTCTTCTTTGTTTATGTCCACAACAGTAACTAATAACCAATCAGCCAGTCTTTAGCTTGAACCATGAGGTTTCTCATTCCTGTTCTTATTGTCTCTTCCTGAGGGCAAGAATGAGCAGCTGGTGGGAGTTAGGCTTTTAACCAAGGCTGAGCCACCACAACAGATTGTTACACCAATCCTGTACAGCTCCTACTAAAAATCAACAAAATGCTATTTATCCCACACTTGGGGTCATCACTTAGAACACAAGARAGAACATATGCAAATTGTACATTGCCACAAAAAACTTTTCCTACTAACCCCCAGTGTAGAACTAGACTGCTGTGTGCTTTTATACACAGCCATTTACTACTTAGTGTAGTCTTGTTTAGATGCCAATTTCTCTATGACAAAAATTCTAAGACAACATAACAGAACTGCAGTAAGCAGAGTTGTAGAGGGATGTCTTTATCTGGTAGACGTAGGTACTCAGGAGACCAGCTGAAAGACTTTTCCCTTTCTATCTTAGTTAATACTTTCTTCCACCACTCAGGATAGTGAGAAATTTGAGACTTACTCTTTAGGGAAAACACTGGTCATTTAAGCTGCTTTGAACTTCAGACAGTCAGCATCTGACTGCCCTCAATTTTGTACCATTGGCAGCAATTCTTTCCAGAGGTTGAAGATTTTGGAAGCCAAGAGAAAAATGAAAAGTATTCCATGAGTAGTAGAGATGAAACTGGAGGTGTGAGGGGCTGGTAATTGACAAAATATGATGAAATATAAAATGCTTTATGGGGGTTCTTCGGCAGAACCTTACATAAAAGACAAATTTGCTAAAGATTAATCTTTAAGGAGGTGATATTTCTGCCACCTCTTAGTTCTCCAGAAGGAAGAAATACAAAGGCAATTGAAAATATGAAGCATGTATTATTTATACATCTGAAAAKGTCACTAGATCTCTAGCTTGAATACCATCCATTTATCCTGAGAGAGGTTCTTCAGAAATTCCCAATTAGCCAAATACTTAMGGAGTCATATTATTCACCTGTGGGCAAAATAGAGTACACCTTCCAATGCTGAATTCTTAGCCATTTGATTAAAATATGAAATAACATCACATTATTTGGRTTTTCTCTTGGTTTATGGGTTTTTGTGTATGCATGTTGCTTGTGATACATACTCCACACAACCATTTGTTCTGAAGTCCTCACATCTCAAGGACTGGGTTAGTTAATATTGGAAATACTTCTTATACTGAAGGAGAGTTTTCTTCAGTTTACAGTTTTGTCTTTTATTATGACAGAAATTAGTAAAATTCTTAGAACACTTTTTTTTTTTGTCTGGTCTGAAAGCCTAGCAATTCAATTTATTTGGTAATGCTCCTTTGAAAAAGTATTGCAAAATATGCTCTTTCCAGACACCATGTTTTTCACATAACTCTTTAACAATACTCATTAGATAAAATTTATTTACAGCTTCGAGCCTTTTTCTTTGGATGAGCTGCTTATTCTCAAAGAGAAAAATACGTTCTTGCTCAAATAGTAACACCTGTGTTYCCTTTGTCTTGATTCTTGTTCTGTGCTAAGAAAAACCTAAGTGGTCCCATTTTTTCTCTCCACCCACTGCAGGAGAAGACCGAGTTCAAAAACGTTTAAGGAGCCCGAAGGTGCACGAGTCCATGGGACCTGGCAAGATACAACCATGGGTATGGTTGAAAGAACTGGCCAAGAAAGTGGCTATGACRCTGTACAACATATTTGAGAAGGCATGGCGATCTGGTGAAACTCCCACTGACTGGAAAAAGGGAAACCTAAAACCTGTTTTTAAAAAGGAAGATAAGGTAGAACCCGGAGATAAGGTAGAACCAGGAGATAAGGTAGAACCAGGAGATAAGGTAGAA